TGAAGCTGCTATTTCTTATAATTCAGTTATTTTTGTCCATTTTAATGACTAAAAATAAACAAATAAAATGATTATTAAAAAATAAAAATTTGATCTTAGTACTAAAATTATATGAAGAAAAAATAAGAAGAAACCAAAAACTGAAATATGTTGTTTTAGGTATTTATAAATTTCAGTGATCAAGGCTGCTTGCTTTAATTCGTAATCCATTGCCATGAATATTGGATAATTCAATGTTTTTAATGAATTATACTGTTTATGCTTGTAGAAGTTATTTGTTTCTGCTTCAGGAAATCTGTAACTATCTCCTGTACCTATGAATCAAAGGAATAGGTACAAAAGGTCCATACTGTAGGATGAAACCCCTACAGCAATCAAGAATAAGTGTAGAGGTTTCTTGTCAGATTGGATGATCCTCTTGCATGAGAATGCAAGACTATACATTGTAATGAGACTTATGACAAGCTTGAGAACTTCAAATGAGAAATTCTGCAGCATCTACTCTACAGTCTGGACTATTGCTATACTGATAACTGATATATCAAACCAAAATATATTTGCAACCTAATATATGATAATAAAATTGATATTCTAGATATCAGCATATCAATATCTGTAAACATGTATTAATTTTGGCATGATATATCAGTTATCAACACAACACTAATCGTGAAAACTGCAACATCCCCTCCAGAATTTTAACACTCTAGTGCAATTTTTTGACAGTTGGGTTTATGTTATAATAATCATCAACTCTACTTTTTTTAAGTAACAATTACTAACTTACCAATATTTTATTGGTTTTGATTCAATATATTGGTTATTGGCATAGCACTATCAACTTCAGTACTTACCAAAATTTTTTGATTATCAATATACCAAAAGAATCTTGATATCAAGCCTGATATCAATATCAAAATTTTGGTTGCACAGCCTTAGTTTGCACCTTTTGCTGTGTGACTAATGTGTTTGCAACTGAAGCAAACCTGCAACCCTTCAGGTGCTTCACTTCCTCTGGCAAATTGTTCATAGACTTCCTGAAGCAGAAACCATAGGACTTCTGCAAGCAAGAAATCACCAACTTCATTTATACAATAGGAAAAATGCCTCAATGCTGGTGGTCATTGCAAATTTATTATCTATAAATTAAAAATAAATAAATTACATTGGCTGATTTTCATTTGACTTATTCTAATATATAATTATTAAAGTGATAATAAGCTGCAAAATTATTACACATTATTAGAAATATTTAGATTGTAATAATGATTTAAAAAAAAAAAAATTAAGTTGCAGATGCTAATGATAGCATTTGTAAAATTATATTGGTTTCACAATTGATCTATTTGGTATTAATATGATTGATGCAGAATCTGCAGGTTTCACATGTAGAAAACCGTTTAGATTTATGCCTTAGTTTCTTATTCTAGATATTAACATTGGTTTACCTTTTTGATTTTAGATCATATTAAGTTTAAAAGAATTGGATTCTCAATCATACAAAAATATGGTTGAGAATCGAATATTGAAAATAGTAAATAAGCATGATTCAGCATCAATTACCTAGCTGATAAAAATTTGAAAAATGAAAAATTACAGTATTTAATTTTGTGTATTTAAATTCATTTATACAGTTAAGAATAATTTTGTTCAAATTTTTAGTTGTTTATTAATTAATATAATTTGATGTAATATTATTAATTAATCCTGATTGAGTAATTTAAGATGTAAGTGCAGTCAAGAAATTTTGTTTTCAACAGTTTTTCTATTGGTATCTTTGTTTATATTTACTGTTTTCCTTCATTACAAGAACAAATCAGTCCTTATCTGCCATTATTCATATTTATGTTCTTGTGTGTAAACATGAAATATTTACCTACATATAGTACTTATTTTGTTTATGTAGGTCTAATTTAATGATTAGTTTCTATATGACCATTATCGATGTCTCTGTAGAACTCAAAGCATTCAGCTGTTTTGCAGAACATGCATTCAAGCATTTCAAGTTTTATCTTTTGAATAGCTACAGTAACATGATTTCAATGAATCTTCAGGCAAAAAATTCCAAAGGTGTTAAATTAGGTGAACATGTTATCTATGATTATGCTTCCAAGTCCAAGCTAGCAACCAGGAAAGCAGATGTTGAGCTAATTCTGAAAAATTATTGCATAATGGTATGGTGTTCCATATTGTCAAGAATACCATCCTGAAGAAGTTGAAGTTTGAAGAATTGTTTCACCATATCAATGTTCCTGAATTGTAGTTTCCAAAAAACAGAAGGGTCCATAAACTTTTGACTAAGTCAAAACCATTATGCTGGTATAAAAATTTTTAAAAATATCTTTAATTTCAACATAATAGATAATTTTTACTATATACAAGGTGTTTCAAAAGTGCCTATCTAAGCATATGTAGCATAGTGAAAACTATGTTACACATGTTTTTCTTCAGAAATATTTGATTTTTTTAAGATTATATTTAGTAGTTCCATTAAGAACATTCATTGATTTATTAGAACCATAAACATTAAAATTAAGTATTTTGTCTGTTAAAATTGTTTCAGTTATATATAAATAGATAAAAATTAAAAAAACAATGAAAGAATTTTTTTATATACAAATTTTTTAGCGTACCCTGTATGTTTTGTATCCTTTAGTCCAAAATTTCCAAATGGAACTTTNTTTTTATATACAAATTTTTTAGCTATATATTTTGTTTTTATATTATGTAATATTAATAAATTTATATATATTTTATATATAATTTAAATATTTACATATAAATATAACACAGTAAATGAGAAGTTTGGATAATGGGTGATAATGTTTAATAAGTTATTATGAATGCATAATGCATAATTGTATATAATGTATATATATTGTAAAATTTTACAAAACTTTCATATGAACAGTTCCTTTCATGAATCTTGAACAGGCTGTAAAATTGTACATTAGTAGGAACCAGTCTATTTACTTTGCATGCATTAGATTAGAAGAGATTAGATTGTTAATAAAACTTTTGAGAGCCTCTTTTTCATAATGCACAGTGACCTTGTCAAACTTTTTAAAACTTTCAGAGTCCCAACCAAGTACCACATATTGCCTGGTCAAGATATATGAAATAATCTGCACCTTTTATTAATATAAACATAACATAAAACTATCCATCTACCAAAAACATTTAAACACCAGTAACATAAATTTAATGAAAACTTTGAACATTTTCGACCTTATCTGAGGCCTGCCTCAGGTTTTAATGAAACAAATTTCAAAATGGAATGCTTGGAACAAAAATATTTGAAAAATTATTTTAAAAAAATTTTTGAACAAAACTTAATGTACACAAAAATTTTATATGGTAGATAAAATAAAAATCAAAAATGCATAACCATCTCATATGTAAGCATTTTTTTAAGATGTAACCAGTGTCTGAGATGAATTAATACATGTTAACTTTGCCTGATCATTCGTAAATGTACTTCCATGCATACGATACTGTGTTACAGTCTATAAAGTTAATACACTTGCTGGTCAGGCCAGCCTTATATATTTCTAAGGCCTCCAGGTTATGAATATGCTCCATTCGAAAGGCCTGCCTAATTAACTTGGTATTTTGGAGGTTAGCATGCACATCAGGGTCAGTAGCATAAATGGACAGGGCAGTGATAGGCCTGTTGTTCGTAATGTTGTACTGATGCTCCTGTACTCTCAAGTATCATATGCATGGAGGTACATTTACGAATGATCGGGCAAAGTTAACATATATTAATTCATCTCAGACACTGGGTACATCTTAATAAATGTTTATATATATGATAGTTATGCATTTTTGATTTTTATTTTATCTACTGTATAAAATTTTTGTGTACGTTGTGCTCAAAAATTTTTCAAATATTTTTGTTCCAAACATTCCATTTTGAAATTTGTTTCATTAAAACCTGAGGCAGGTCTTGGATAAGGCCAAAAGCATTTGAAGTTTCATTAAATTTATGTTACTGGTATTTAAAGGTTGTTGATTTGTTTGATTGCTCCAGTAATTCGAGAAGATAGTTTTAGCACATAACATAAAGTTAATAATAAATTTGATATTAAAGTGCCCATTAATTATTAATTAAATTTGATATGTAAGATATTGTAGATTGAATTTAGTTAAATTAGTTGTCAGTAAATTCAACAGATACATATAAATATCTGTTGTGTGTAAGAAATGCTTTAACTTCAAAAGAAACTCTTGAACTACTCTAAAAAGATGTTTTGCTTTGAACATTTGATGGCATATCTTTTTATATGGAGATTATATTGTTTTTTTATAATGTGCTAATTTTTTTTTATCTAATTGTACTTAAAACAAAAGGTGATAATGAAAAACGTCAATGTTGAATGTTGTTTTTTTAGCCAATATAATAATTGCTNGATAGAAGTAATTTTGATTATTTTATTTTGTAAATTATTGTGATTTGAATTCTGACGAAAGGAGATGCAAAAATGTGTATATTTTTTAAAGTATGTAAAAAAATTGTTAGAGTAATGGATAATGATATTTTAACTATATAGCCTATCTTCAAAGTTAAATATTTTTAAATTTTTGTGTAATATAGATTGTATGAATATAACTAAATTGACTAAATTTAATTAAATATTTTAAGCTCATGTCTCATATATCAATGACATTGAAGATAGGAGTATTTGATTGTGATATCTTTTAATAAAATATATTGAGGACAGTTAAACAGATTGTCCTAGAAATAGACTATATTTTAAGAACAGTTGAAAAAATATTTTAAGTAACTGAAGATATGTATATGAATTTTTAAAAATAAATCACACTACAATTTTTTTTTTTATTAATAAAAAATTTTCCTAATCAAAAATTCAACTTCTAAATGTGCATAAGTTTTTATCATATTAAATCATTAACGTTTATTAAAAGTATTATGATTTCTAATTTATTCTAAACTTCATACACTTGTTAAAAACAAAATTTTGTTATTATTTCTGTAGCGTTTTATAATAGGAATAACACCAGCAGTACAACCATATAAAGTTGATAGAAGTCCAAGTACTGAAGAAGGAACACCTCTTGATCTTGCTGCTCTTCCAATGCCTATAGTCAATATATCTATGAATGATAAATTTTAAATGTACATGATGTAAGTACGCACTTGAGACTAAATTGGAAGGGAAAACATTTATAAACAGAAGTTATTTGGAATTAAGAAAATATTCCAATAGGCACAACATTGCTAGTGTGTCCAGTGTTAATTTTACACTGATATGTTAAATTATCATTCCTTCATATCCGGAAAAAAATAAAAAGCATAAATAGAGATCCATAAACCTAATTTATATATACATGTATAAGATTTTGCATATGTAACAGTAGTAAGATAAAAATTAGAAAGTAAAATATAAAATTAGATAATCATTAAAGTCATATTACATATGATTTGTCTGTCTGCAAAATTGTCTTAAAAGTCAGTCAATTGAAAATGTCAACTTTGAGTCTGAAATGGTAAAAATTTAAACCGAATATTAAGATACTAATCAAATTATTAAATGAATGCAATTATAATTAAAATAATTAAAGACAACAATCATTTTAATTACATTTATCATTGATATCACCAAATATTAACATAAATTGTGAATGTTTTCATGAGAAATATTTAATTAATAAAAGTTTAAAAATTATAAAATTAAAATATATTTTATTTTCTATTTAAGGAATCGCAAAAATGTAAAAGATGAATAGTAAATTCTTAATTTGCTAAATTTTCTTTTATTCCTTAATCCTTTTTTTTTTTTTCTAAAGAATTCAACTATTTATTAATAAAATCATTTTCTTCAGTATAGTTGGTGTTCTCATTTGTTGTTTCTGTATGTTTATCATCTAAATTAGCTTATCTTATTATCTATTTTTTCTTTTGTATGTAAAATAAATTATCTTAAAAAATCTTTTGTTTAATATTTTTATTCTGAAATATATTATAGAACACTGATGATAAATTTATAAATTTATCACTTTTGCAATTAAATTCATAAATAATTGTTTTTTAAACTTCATATTCTATTTTAATTAATGTTAAATATTAATATGCAGTATTTAATTCTTTATTATGGAAAATTATATCATTTTTTAAATGATTTTAATGATGATTTAAGTGAAATAAAATTCAAAATTGACATTTTCTTTTAACTGATATACAGTGTTTATCATCTTGATCTTCACTATAAGACAATAATGAATAGTTTTTCTAGTTATAATAATTTATTGAATTTTAATTCATATTATTGAACTGTTATAGAGTTATCTGTGCCTATTAATGTGTTTTGCCAAGTTAAGTATGTTTTCTGAATTTGATATTTTAGTATTTACAGATATTCATAAATTTATACCTAATTAAATCAGTGTTATATAAATTTTTATAGCAAAAATATTAATGTTAGAACTTTTAAATATTGTGTTTTGTCTTTTATTTTAATAATATATCAGAGCTTAGCAGAAAAATGACCAAAACTCAAATAACTGGAGTAAAATATTCATATATGTAAGTAATTTATTATCATTCCTATTGTTTGCTTAAAATAAGGAAATAATTAAGCAGTGAGGTATATTGTCTCTCAAAAAAATTAAATAAATAATAATAATACAAGGACAGGCTGAAAAGTAATGCATACATGCTTGTAGAGCACAAATGAAATGATTTTAAGAAGCGTGCCAGGTGGCATATGGAAGTAACATTCCCCCTCTATGTGCATGTGCAGTTTGAGGTTGTTGTGTTCATTCAGTATATTTTGAGAAGTGGAAATATGGAGACATGTTCTGGTGCTATGACAACACGAGTTAAACAGCGTGCTGTTATTGAACTTTTAACTGCTGAAAAAATTATGTTTAAAGGCTGTTTATGCTGACGATGCTGTTGATAGGTCTATTGTAAATTGATGGATAATAAAATTTCATGGTTGTGAGCCTGGAAAAGCCATAATTGTTGATGAAACACGCAGCAGAAGTCCGATCACTGCCACAGACAATTACCATTGCACCTTGTTGCAATGTTTAATTCTTCTCAGTACATACAGACTCTAAAACACCTCTGACGTTGAGTTTGACATGTTAGAGGCAGCCTGGCACCAATAATCTTGCAACATGACAACACTCATCCACACACCTCGCACGCAACTGGAGAGGCTCTGCGAAACCTGAAGTTTGAACCAATTCCACACCCTCCTTATTCCCCCAATCTTGCGCCTTGTGATTTTTATTTCCTCCCTCTACTTAAGAGAGACCTCAAGAGTAATCATTACACCTCAGATGATGGGGTGAAGGCAGCTGTCAAGTCCTGGATTCAAGAAAAGTTGGAAGAATTTTTCAGTGACGGAATGAAAAAACTTGTTACACGTTGGGAGAAATTTGTTAGCCTTAACGGTGACTATGTTGAAAAATAAATATATGATTTTGAAGCTTAAGAATTGTACTTTAATGCACTTTTTGCCCGATCTTGCTATTTGTTTTTGTTCGTGTTCTACAAGCATGTGTGCATTACTTTTCAGCCTGCCCTCGTAATATAGCATATTTGCATTTTCTTTGATCACCAAAATAAATTGTAAATAATTGTTTTTGCTGTACTAAATTTAAATTCAGATAGAAGTAATTTTGATTATTTTATTTTGTAAATTATTGTGATTTGAATTCTGACGAAAGGAGATGCAAAAATGTGTATATTTTTTAAAGTATGTAAAAAAATTGTTAGAGTAATGGATAATGATATTTTAACTATATAGCCTATCTTCAAAGTTAAATATTTTTAAATTTTTGTGTAATATAGATTGTATGAATATAACTAAATTGACTAAATTTAATTAAATATTTTAAGCTCATGTCTCATATATCAATGACATTGAAGATAGGAGTATTTGATTGTGATATCTTTTAATAAAATATATTGAGGACAGTTAAACAGATTGTCCTAGAAATAGACTATATTTTAAGAACAGTTGAAAAAATATTTTAAGTAACTGAAGATATGTATATGAATTTTTAAAAATCANAAATCACGAAAGTTATCTTTATTGTTAAAATGTTTTTGAGAATCCTTTTCCTCCCTCAGTATTTTGTGTAACTAAATTCAAAACATTTCAATGAAAACTGTGATTTAGAATCTAAAGACAATTTAAGAATTTGAATTGAAACATTTTGAATATGTATGTTTTGTACTCTATTTAAAAATGGATAGGTGCTCTGTAAATATTTTAATAATACAAGTGATTAAAAAAAAAGACATTATTTTTATAAATAATTTTCTGACTTCACTAATTACAATTATTCAATAATTTTAAGTATAGTCTACATTCAAAATGTATTGAATTACCCAAGATGATGATAAATTCTGAAAAAATGTACTAACATTTAACTTCAGTTGAATGATAATACTGTTAGACTGATGGTAAAGGTTAGTACAGTACATTTTTACTGTTTACAACTTCAGTTTGGAAGAGAGCTAAAATAAAATCTTAAACATTAAATTTTAAATTTATTCTACATTCTAAATAGTTATCAATTATTTTATGAAAATAACATAATTTTAAAATAGCATTATATTTATTTTGAAGGAAGAAACTTACAGGATGATTTTTATTTAATTTTTATATATTTCCTGTAGTTAATCAACACTTTTTTAAGTGTGAGTTTTGGTGTGAATTTGCTTTTTATGAAATATTATTTCATCACGTTATTCATCATTTGATGTAATTTTCATCTTTGGGAAATACTTAATACTTAAACTGCACATTCTCAATTTCAACTTGTGTTGTAGTCAGAGTTGACATAGAATGTAAATAAAGATCATAAAGAATACATTTTATTTTATTGAAAATATATTGAATTCACATATATTTGTTTGTACAGTACGTACAGAATATATAGATCTTTGTTGAGTTCTTAATGCCTGAATTTTTAATAACTTGTTGATGTAAGGTAAAAGTGATGTTTTCAAAACAATTTAAACAAACTTGCAAGAAAATCAGCATTTCCTTTAACCACTGTTATTAATTATTTATATTATAAGTTCTACTAAATGTCTAACTTTCATTAGTCCATTTGTTGCTCATTTGGAAAATGAGCCTTCAATAAATGCCAATGAAGCTAATATACTTAAAATGTATAAAATTTTATTTTGCTTTTGCTTTATATTATTAGTTTAGTGGTAATAAATTCAAACAATTGTATAGATTGCATATTTACATTTTCAATGATTTTAGGTACTAATTTCCAAAATAGGACATGTGATGATCATTGTTGTAATGTTCAAGATGTGAGGTTTAAGAAATAAATCTTTTTAAAAAAAATTTTATATTTATTTTTTATTGTTTACTTAAAGATAAAAGATTTTCTCTTCAGAATAGTAGTTAATTTATTAATAGTGTTTATTTATTTATTAATGTGAAAATTGAAACAAAGATTTTTCCAATAATTATTTTTACAGAATAAATGAATAGATTAATTAGAGAAAAATAGATATTTGTTATTAATTCTATTGCACTCTAATGTTCAGAGAATAGTTGCAGCATTTAGTTTGGTTAAGTAAAAATCTCACATTATGCATTTAATAAATTAATAAATTCAAATTTAAATAATTGCTTTAATCATACAAACAGTTTTAATAAAAATAAATATGTTGATGTTTGCTTAAATCCATTGTGTAGTCATAATTATTCTTTTACATTTAGAAAAAATAATGGTAAAGTAAAATAATTATTCTTGCAAAAATTATTTTAATGATAATACATATGCAATTTTCATTTTAAAAGATAGATATCTAATTTTAAATTAAACAGTGATAGATTTTCTATAAATTCATTAAAAGTTATGAGTAAAAATGTGTTATTTTCATTTTCAACCATTACTGACTTTTTTGTCTGCATTTTTAGACTTGTTTTATAATACAAAATTATATCCTTGGATTCAATGATAGTCTTTTTATATTTATAAACAACATTTTTCAAAAATAAAACATGTTGCATAAAATACTTAAGATTTGATATACTGTACACATAATTTTCAGATTTTAATGTTTCTAATTTACTATCAAATTGAAATTATTTTTTATTCTTTTAAAACAAGGTATCAGATTGTACTGTATCTTTTGCTTTTATATTAATAGTTTATATGAAATTTTATTGTTGATTTGAAGTGCAATAAGTACATTTGTATGAAGCAGAGAATAAAAATATGACTCCAGCAATTATGCATTAAATATTTCATAATTAAATCTGTTTTCAGAAAATAGTAGATATTATATGTCATTCCATTGTTTTTACAAAATTGTTAATTTTTATGAGAGACCTCAAGAGTAATCATTACACCTCAGATATTTTAAAAGTTAGTGTAAGTCAAGTTAAGCATTAAAATTCGTATAATTTTTTGACTTAAACTTTATATTTCTTACTAATGGAATGCAAATGTTGTTTATTATTTTGATTTTAAAATAATTTTACAAATTAAATTTAAATTTTATGAAAAATAAAAATCTTTTCACTAATTATGAATAAATTTATGCATGGAAGATTGCATGAAAATATATTTAGAAAATAATTAAATAAAATGAAAGATAACTTTCGTGTAT